TTAATTCAAATAACTGTTTAATTATGAATTTTATTAAATTATCAGATTTAGCAAAAGCAGTGTCTAGGATTTTACAAAACATTTGAAAATCGATGGATTTACTATTGCTTTTACCTTTACCCTACATTTATTATGCTTAAAATTATAGATTTGAATTTGAAGTAAAGTTTTTATACAAATATTTTTACTTAATGTTTCAGTATTTTTATACTGAAAGTCCTGATTTAGTCCATAGGGATAAAGGGTTTTTTTTCTTTTAAAATATAATATTCTTCTCTTTCTGTTAATAACTTTGTGTTAAATATTTTTTCTAAAATGGTTATTCTAACATTATTAAACAAGTGTTTATTAAAATGATCTATTTCTGTTGTATGAGGAAAATGCTTTTTACTTTGTGATCTATGTAGGTTAATCCTAAGATGTAAATGATTAGATGTTTGCCCTACATATTCAAGACCTCATTTGCCACAAGTTAAAAGCTAAATAACAATATCCAATTTACAAAGTAAAAGTGGCGGCCGGACAAGTTGAACATCTAGAACTGTTGCAATTAAATTTTTCATGATTATGAGTGGTCAGTTCAAAAATCAGCAAATAATTATTGAGCTATTTCTCTACTTATTACATTAACGGAAAATGATTTAAAGGTGCTGATTTTATCACCCTTTTCTCTTTTTGTAATTATGATTTCTTCTTTGTTGTATACTGACTAATAGCCTGGCTAGCTATTTGATCAAAAACATACCAACAAAGAAAAAGGGATATATATAAATCCCTAAAAGTAAGAGATGGAAAATGAATGCAGAAAATCCCAACAAAAGTGAAATCACGTATGTAACGCGAGAGCCGAAGACAACAAACAAGCCAATGTAGAGGTAATAAAGAATCACAGGAAAGTGGGGCAATAGATAATACATCACATTCCTGAGAAATCATGTCAAAAAGTGCCATATCAGGCCTAGCTGATTCTGCAAAAGGGGTAGTGAAAGACACTGTGTAGAAAGGCTATCAAATCTTCATCAGCCCGAACAGGTTTAGCTCTTTTAGGAGGACTAGTGGGGCAAGTTCAGAAGAAGTAGGTTAACCCATATAATGATCAATCTCACAGCAGAGAATAGCAAAGAAATCTAATAAAGGGTCTCCCCACCTGCAGCCTGTGAAATAGTGCTAAAGGTATGATACCCAAAGTGGGAACATGAACTTCAGAATTCCTTATAGAAATACATAAATCAAACATAAGTGTTTGATGTAAAATATGGAAATGTGAGAAAACAAATAAAAGACTGGGAAATTTAAGTTAAAGATTTCTTCAATGTAAAGAAAAAAAAAAGGTAGTGAAGAAATCCCACTTCGGAAATTAAACTATTAAAATCACGAAAGTGATTCACATGAAGAGCACCAAATAAAACAACATCTGAACACGAGTACTGCCAAACTTGAAGTGATAGTTCAGAAGAATTGAATAGAGAATCATTAGAGTATGTTGCACTCTTATTGGTGGAGGGTTGAAGCATGATGATTTGCATGAGAGATGCATTGAAATCAGTCAAATCAAATGTAGGGGAGATAAAAGGCTTGTGGTATACATAAAAATTATTTTTGCGGATAGAGGGCAACACTGAATGAGAATAGTTATTTATATGAGTGGAGGTATTTTACCATACAGGAAACTAAATATTCACTCCCAGACCTTTCAACCATCTAGTAAGGTGCAGGCTCAAACTGAAGAAAACAAATCAGGGGTAACTTTTCCCAAAGTGGCTTCCATTTTTTATTTCTTTTAAAGACTGTTCTGATTTCTATTGTTTGGAACAACATTTTGTTAGCTAAGTATGCTTTGTTAGAGCAAAACAATTTTGGGCTATCTGCTGGGTCCACTATAGGGAATTGAACCTCGGACTTCAGCATTGTAAGTCCATAAACTTACCACTGTCCGAGAGGGAGTCTGAGAAGCAAAAGAATAAAATAAAGCACAGGAAAAAACGAATCAAAAGTCTCTCCAGGCTGACCAGGATCACCTTCAATTGCCTCAGAGCCCCCTGGTGGAACACCAGTGAACCAAATATATGTCTCCACTACTACAAATGAGATCACTGACAGTCTCAACTGAGAGTGACTCCCCCACCCCCTTCCAACTGTTGTGTGATGCTAGATATCAGGGGTGGGATAGAAAATAATAATCTGGGAATTCATACCATATATTGGATTGCCAATTGAAAAAAAAAAAAAATTAAACATAAATCAACTAGATAACACAAAGAACACTCAGTGTATCTCCAATTGATCATAGTAGGGAGAAACCTGTTAGTGAACAGTTTGTCGAGAAAATCTGAATCAGGTGCTTATATACAAGGATAGAAAGTGCATTCACATAGGTGGAGAGTATCGAGAGACAAATATCACCAAATGTAATTAAGTAGGGTAAAAAAAAGACTGGAGCAAGCGAGAAAAAATCAGACCAATGTTTAGATGAGCAAAGGCAGATGAGTTGGGATAATATATATTTTAAAGGCTGTACTCTAAATTAATGCCATTATCTTTTTGCTGGTTAAATCAAAGAACTACTAATAAATCTCAATTAAAAATGGATTAGTATATGCATAAAAAAGTAATTTATTATAAAACTAAGAGAAAACTAGAATGTATGTAATACACATTGCCTTTCTTTCTGACAAACTGTAGCAGCTTGTACAGCTCTGTTTATTGCTTAAACTGTTTTTTTTTTTTCAAATTAATAATCTCATATTTGAAAGAAAAACACTTACATTGTTCAAACACATTTTTGGATGTTATATATTATAAAGCACAATAATCAAACGAAACTTTATTATAATAACCTGCTTTGGACTGACCTTTACATAGTCCCTGTTGAGCAGCAATTTAACAATAATGACGAGGTGAGCTAAAATATCTTCCTGTATTGTTCTGTTCTTAAGGCGTTTTAGCAAAGGACGGAGATATGCCTGAGTCTGGGTGTAGGTAGCAGAGGCTAGCTTACCCTTTACTGAGGTCTTCTCTAATTCAGGTCTGGAATTAAGTTTCCTTCCCCACAGCTGTAGCAGAAACTAAAGAAAATAAAGTGGTAAACACTTTATGAATTTATTTTACAATATATAAAAGGAACAATGAACACCATTCAATGTACTTTTTTTTTTCATTATTTTCTCAAACATTTGAAATATGTCATGACTTACAAAATTTCCATGGTATTTTCATTTTTAAAATACCAGCTACATATAAAGATACAATTGAGGATATCAAAGCTAACAGCAAGGTGGCTGAAAGTATTTGGGTCATATTAGCAAATATAAGGGGAGAAGGCTTTTAGTTGGAATTTTTTACAGGTCACTATAAGAAACTGATGAAATATGAGAAGTTCTACAAGGAGATAAAAGATTCAGCTGTTAACCCTATGTGTACAGGTACAGTTGATTTGATCAACCATAAAACTTTAAATACTCTAACTAAATGTAACAAATGCATCTACGCAAAATTTGACAAGCTTTTAGTAAAAATTATGTCTATTGTGCACAAAAGATATGATTTTTTGTTAAGGTATTTTTACTAAATATTTGTCTGTAAATTCAAAAAGAATAGAAAATTTTTTATCTTAGTTTCATATTTCATTTGCACAATCTCTAGAACCTCCAAAGTGTATAACAAATTTTCTTTTCAGTAAAACTTAACATTGTTATAAGCTATATTTTAATGCTGTAGATTAGATGTTAACTAGGGACACATGATATTAAGATCAAGCAAGTCCTAGAATACTTAAAAAATTCGGGAATATTAGTGATTGAGAGACTTTGTGAAATGTCTAAGCTACAGATATAAATACAAGTAAGACTGCTAAGAATTCAGTATATTTTAGAGAAGTGTGAAGATTCATTTTAGTTTTTTTGCCAGATAACTTAAAAGAACCTGTCCAATGAATGAACAATGTCACAACCTAACACAAACTGTAGAAAAATCATCAATGTACTAAGAAATTAATATTTGAAAAATATGAAATAAAATCAAAATTTTTCTTTTTTTCTTTCTAGAAAGTTGGTAGATTGTAACAGAAAACTACAATTATTTATCCTAGCAGCCTCAGCTTCTAACTCGTTCACATCTGCAATTATTTAGTTTTATTGGTCTACAGTGCTTAGATCCTCACACTCACAGTACACAAAAACCATTATATCATAGCAGAACAGCTTAATGTAAACAACTAATAAATTGTTGTCAGACCACACTATGTGCACATGATGACATTAAGTTAAGATATCAAATATCATGAGAAATGTATTTAATTTTCTTTTATTTACATTGTGTATCTAACCTAATAAGTTTCCAACTTTTACAATTTAGTTACATTTGTTAAAGACTTTGTTAAATAAAAGATAAGAAATTTAGTACATACAGCTGGACTCAGGTGTTTTGCTGTCAATGCCATAACACACTAGCCCTACTTTTTAGTGATTATGCTGCTTGTCCAAGATGTAATCAATGTAGCTTCCAAATACCCATTTCAGAATACAAAAATATATCAGGCACTAAAACAGAATGTCCTGAAACTACTTTAAATTTTCTGGCTTTCTAACTAAGCTATAAATACGTTAAACAATTCCACTACTTTCCAGAGTACTTCCTTATCCGTACATACATGAAAATGTTCTTGCAAACTTTTAACTTTCCCCATAAAAAAATAAATAAAGGAACAAAAGAGAGCATGTATTTAACTTTACTCTTTCTGGTGGTTATAAATCCTTATATTTATTATATACCACAGAAACTAAACTAAAGCAACTGTAAGGTGGAAGGAGTCTTGATAAATGAGAAAAGAGGATATTCTTATTTTATTTTCTGGCCTATCAATATCTATATTCATGGTTCTAATTGGTTAAGCACTCTTAAAATTTTAAATAGGATTAAAAATATATAAAAAGGAGAAATCAGAGAATGATATATATCACATAGTGAAGATTTAAAATTTATTTAAATATTTTTTTGAAACTAAGAAATTAAAACTTAGATACTATAAAAAATTTTGTTTATAAACTATGTTTTGATGCCAAGTTCATTAGCATATGTTGATAATAAAATGATAAAAGTTTGATAAAAAATTATTTAACAAAGTAAATAAAAGCTTTTTATTATAATACAGGATGGAACAAAAGGACAAGAGCTTGTGGAAACAGGTCAGAGGGCTACAAATATGATACCTGGTATGGAAAGTTGTTATATGAAAACAGTGTTACGCATTATAATTTCAAATAGTCTGAAACCGAGCTAACTGATACTTTAAATTTAGTAGTTGAATTGTACTTTGGATTTAGCAGTTAATTAAAAGCTGATATATAGTCAATTTATGATATTTGCCAACAAGATTGATACATACAGTTTTCTTTTTAACACAAATATGTTTTAATATACAAACACCAATACAATTTACAATAACAGTTATTACACACAATGATTTATATATAAAACTTTTACAAACCACAAGCAGCATAAAGTTTTCTTTGTAATCTGGAACTTCCTTGATATCTTAACGAGGATTCACGACGATCGAGTTAATTATGAGTTGACATTGGTATAATTCACTTAACAGGGAGTTAGCTAGCTTTGTCCTTTGTTATTCACCAGCCATACATGCCGAGCTTTCCACAACTAAGTTATATAATGTTTTCATAAAAATACTAATGTCTGATGAGAATCCACTGAAGTTAAATGATTTGTAATGTTCAAACTCTGTAAATATTCCTGGTCAAATATCCGAAGTTTTCCAACTGATAAGCAGTAATCTCAATAAAGTTATAGCTTCCTAAGATTATAGCACACCGACTATAGCAAACCAATAATAGATACTCTTTTTTTTTTTGGTGAGTCACATTGGTTATATTTGTAGGCCCGTGTAGGCTTTCTCGAATGTTCAGCTTTACGTAACAATACTGACACTAACATAAGCATTTACTTATACACTTATATTGTTGATTCTTACTTTCAAGAATCTTCTACAACTTTGGAAAATAAGCGGGAGTTTTGCAATACATATTTAACAGTATAAGCTACGTATGTTTTCAAATATAAATTTAATCTAAGCAAACGTTGATATTAAAACAAATATATAATAACAAATTCATTACAACTCCCTCCTTAGAGAATTAAAAATTGGTGTTAGACAATTTTTAACTAAGGTTAAACAAGACCGATGTCTGTAGGTTTACTATCTTCTTAGAATTCTTCTCAAGAAGTCGATAAGCCGTCTTAACATTGTTAGAACAACGGGTAAAAGTTGTAGCTAGTGATGAGTTTGCCGACGCGTTTAGAATGCATTCTGCATCCATTATCAAGGCTGAATGTTGTGTGAATTGTGATTACTGTTGGTGGATATTTATAGGTATGGGTAAGCAGGTGGTGGTATCTAGCTGGTGGAAGGCGTTAATTGGTGGAGTGTTGTATTGTGGCTTGGGGGTTTCTCGCCAAGAAGTAGCAGTGTGCGTGCTGTTCCTGTCGACAACTC